GGCCGCTGCGCCCCTCAGTGCTTTCTCCTAGAAACTCGTTGTGCTTGTGACAGTGAGTAGACTCTGGCTGGGTGTCACTTGTAAGACTTCCTGGGGGATCAGTGGAGTGCAGCAGGACCCCCACCCTACACTGGGGCCGGAGTGCGGCAGGGGCGAGGTGAGCGGGCCAGGCCCCGGGCTGGCCCGGCCGCCGTGGAATAATGCCCAAACAGTCCGCGTCCCTAGCGGCAGCGGGCGGGAGGCCTGAGCTCTTCTCCTTGCCTACATCTAGCCAGAAGCCCAGCAGTGCCGCACAAGTTGCGACAGGGGCGGCACACAGGACCAGGCACGGTCCTTGCGGCCAGAGCCGTGGAAGGAACCCTAACATCCTAGGCCAGCACGGAGCAAAGACAACAGTGTGGAATTGGAACTCTCTATTAAAAATAAAACCACAACAGAGTGGCAGCCTCGAGGGTCTGGGACACTCAGCGGAGACTGGAAATGGCAGTTGTGACTGGGCTGAGGCCTTGTGGGGGACCAGGGCAGGGCCCAAAACAGGGACAGGGGTGAGTTAGGAGGCCAGGACCCCCATGCGGACCACCTCCTCGGCCCCCGCCTCCCGGGACCCCCGCTGTACCCCGCTGTCCGCCTCTGCCTCTGAGTCGCTCATCTCCCCGTCAGAGAAGTAGCCATCGGCCTCAGTGTCAAAGCGCAGGCTGACCTTTGGCCTCTCAGGTCCCATCCCGGCCTCGGGCCTGGCCCCCGGTGATCTCCGGATGACCTTGCTCTCACGGGGTGGCCGGAGCCGGCCCAGGGGCTTGGGGCTCACCCTGGGGCCAGGCACTTGGACATTCGAGTCGTTGGCTGCTGGGGCTGCCTCGTCCGGGGTCTCGGGGGCCAGAGGCGGGGGGCTTTCTGGGGCGGCTGGTATGGGACAATCCCCAGCTGTAGGGCTGGACGGCCAGTGAGCAGACGTCCGCCGAGGTGGCTTCCTGGCAGGTGGCCCTTGCCCCCCCTTGCCACTGCCTGCATCCTGGCCCCAGAGCTTCTTGGGGGGCTTTTCTGGAGTCGTCCGTGAGCCAGGTCCATCCTGCAGGGGCGGTGGCTTCTTCTTGGCAGGCAGGCGGGTGCGGCCTCGGGCCTTCCTGGCCGGGTCGCCGGGTCGCAGCGAGGGGTCCCGCATAAAGCTGAGCAGAGTCTCCTCATCCTGCAGCAGCTCCTCCGACAGCAGCCCGGGAGCGGGATCTTCGCGGTGTCCATTGTTCAGTGACCACTCGCTCATGGCCATGTCCTCCGCCGTGATTTGCACCGACTGCGCCAGCCAGCTATTGAAGAAGGTGCCGTCGATGGGGAATGAGGTGGACAGGCCTGGCCGAGGGGAGAGAGGAGGCAGGTGAGACACAGGCAGGGGCCCCGCCCGTTCAGGTGGCCTTCTACACCCTCCTCCTGCTCTCCTGGACCCCAGACCCCCAGAAACCACCTTGCTTGCCCATTCCTCCCATCAACACCACCAGGGAGCAGGGTGCCAACACCCCCTTCTCCCCAGAAGAAGAGGGGAGGCAGGGTCATCTGCAGAGGGCAGGACAAACGAGCTCCTTGATCAAACATTATTAAGAACTTCAAGGCGGCTAGAGCTCAGGGGTCAGGGAAGTGCAAGGGGAAGATGGGAAAGGCCCTCCAGCCACCAGGGGGCAGTGGATCTTCACCAGCAGCACCTCCTCCGCTTCAGGCAAAGCACAGGAAAAAAACGTAGGGGCTGACCATGAATAGAGGTAGCAAGATGTATCTGGGCAGGTCTTGCTTGGTCCCCAGCCCCAGCTAAAGGTTCTTCTTCCTTTTCTGAGGTCTTGCTAGAGGACACTTGGTGAGGTAGGGCCTTCATTTACTTATTTTGCTGTTTTTGCAACAGGATCTCACTATGTAGTTCAGGCTGACTTGAACTCACTAGGTAGCCCAGGTGGGCCTCTAACTGGAGGCGATTCTCCTGCCTCATCCTCTGGGATTGTAGGTGTGTGTCACCAAGCTTGGCTCAAGGCCTTCTTTTTAGACATCCAAGTTGTTCCCGGCTTCACACTGACGGACATAAAAAAGGATGACCTGGTGCATGAGTGCTGAAGTGAAGCCTGGAAGGGGATTCTACCCTGCTCCCAAAAAAGGCTCTGGAGGAAGTGCTCGCCACTCTAGGAGTCATGAGCCCAAAGCCAGGCTCCCTAAGGCTCGCTCCCTAACAGGTGACGAAGGGGGTCTGAGACACGGCCCGCTGGGACCTGGCTGGGAGAAGAGCCCACCTGGGGGTTGGGGGGTTAGGCAATGGGGACAGGATGAGGACTGCTGGCCTCCTCCCCTGCACACACGGCACTGGCAGAGGAGCTGGGGAATCCGGCACCCGGGACCCAGCCTCTGTCCGGTGGGGAGAAGGGGAGCTCTCAGAAGGGAGGCGAGGCGCTGGGCCTGTGTCCTCTGCGGGGGACATGGAGCGCCTGGACCAGGGGCCGCATCTGCACAGCTCTGTCTGCCACAGCGGGGCCTCACTCACCCAGCTGCCCCAGGACGGAGTCGGGCCCGGCCTTCACTTTCTCTTTCTTCTCCGGGCTGCTGCCCCTGGGACCCTCCCGGCCTTTCCTCTTGGAGTCGCTCTTCTTGCCCTTTGATCTCCTCCCAGCTTGCTCTGCACCACACAACGCAAGAGTAGGGAGACGGTCACTGCAGGGCCAGCACAGAGTGGCAGCCCGAGTCCTGCAGGGCCTGGGAACACTGTGGGTCAGGGTGCGGCCAGTGTAGGCCCGAGGGGTCCAGGCCGGTGGCTGCCCTCGGGTGACGGGGTGGGCACACAGCCACGGGAATACCCGACTCATCTCACGGGCCTCAGAGATGTCCGGGGAGGCAACTCGGGACACAGTGGAGCCTTGAGTGTGAGGCCAAGGAGCTGGACACAAGGGTGGAAAGGAATCCTCCCAGGGGCCGAAGACTTGGATTCCAATCCTGACACCACAGCCAGCCCCCTGGGCAAGCCTCCTGCCTTGGTTTCCTAGTCTGCTTTTGAGGTCAGCAGCAGACGCACACGGGGTCCTAACATCTTTCCTGTCCATGATCATCTGCAAGTCTGGAAGCAGGGGAAGAGTGGAGGGGAAGGCACAGCAGCCCCAGGCACCCACAGCTTCGCAGGCAGAGGCAGGAGGGCCTCAGTCTCCTGCCCTGCAATGGGGGACCGAAGCCAGACACTTTGGAGGAAGGAGTCCTGTCCTCCGACAGCCTGGACTCCTCCCCTCAGCCACAGGGCCTGTCCACTTTGCCCTCACTCCCCAGTCTCTGTGCCAAGTCGTGCTTTGGCCTCTGGGTCTGTACTGCCGTTTCTTGGTCTTGTCCTTTGCCTGGTTGATATGCAGGCCCAATGCTACGTCCACTGAGAGGCCGTCCTAACCCCCAGGCCAGACAGGTCTCAGCACAGGTCTGCGACCAACTTTCAGGCCGGGGTCTGGCATCACAAGAGCGTGGACACTACTTCGGGCAGGAGCAAAGCAGCCTTCTGACCCAATGCCTGCTCTCAACTAAGAACTGCTGGTTGTTGCCACTTGAGGAAAGGAGCCACAAGGCCCCCGGGGGCAAACCTTTACATCTTTAGGACCCTATGCCTGCAGACACTGCTCCTTCCTTGCTACCCTCAGTTACTTTTCTTTCTTTCTTTGCAGTACTGAGGATCGAACTCAGGACCTTGTGTCTGCCAGGCAGGCGCAGCACCTCTGAGCTACATCCCCAGCCTGCCACCCTCAGATATGACTGTGGGTGCCTCGCGTGGGCTTCTTCTGGAGCCAGATATGTGGCCACGGCCGAGTGCTAGGAGTCCAGGACACCGTTCCAGCATCACCTCCGACTCAGACCTCTGTCCCTGACAGCAGCCCGAGCCTGTGCTTTCCTTTTCTCTCCAGAGCGCAAGCTCCATGAGGGCAGGAGCCCTGCTTGGGCTCAGCCAGTACCCACAGGAGCCCTGAGAGCTCCAGAATCGGGGCTGCTGCCTCTGTCCACGCACAGCGTGTGCATGGCTGTGACCGGCCCTGACCCCACCCCTGAACTTGGCAATGCAGCTTTCCGAGCCAGGGTGCCCGAGAGCCCAGCAGCAGTCAAGGCAGACTGGCCACTGGCGGGGGCACCAGGCCCTCGCTCGCTCGCTTTGGAAAGGGCCGGGCAGCTTTCCTCTCTCTTCTGCTCTAGGCACAGCCATGACCCACGGCTCAAGACCTCTCTCCACCCAGCTACTTCTGCTGTATGGAAACGACACCGGAGCGCTTCCTCCTTCCCATGCCCACGTGCCGTGAAGTGTGTCTGGCACTGTTTGCGACCAACCGAGATCAACCGCTAAGAGCTTCAACAGCCTGATTCTACGCCGGTTAAGGGCACTGCAAACAATGAGGTAGACAACCGCGAAGAAACACTCCTGATTCAGGGACTGAATCCTGTCATGCAGTCAGCGAGGACATCCGGGGCCTGAGCCTTCTCTGGGCAGGTGCTTTCCTAAAAACTGACCTCGGAGGCAGCCAGTGCTGCGGCAGACTCACCGGCGCCTGCCCATGGCCCCTCGCACTCTGGGTCTGCTCCTGTCTGCTCGCCCTCTGCTCCTGAACCCCAAAGGCCAGTGAACCCGAAGGCCCTCGAGGGCAGGCCCGATGCCCCGTTCCCAACACCACCAAGCACTTGGCAGGCCCCCTCCAGGCCCAGGACACAGTGGAGAGGGGAAAGGGGCCACACCTCACTCGGGCCCCACCCCACACAGTGGTTCCAGTGGCGGCAGGGAAGGGAAGGTGCCTACCTCGACACAGGTCCTGCTCGATAAGCTTCATCTGCAGGTGGAAGATCTGCTCCTGCAGCTTGCAGATGGCGCGCTTGGTCCTCTCCCGCCTTGTCACCATGTAGCAGAGATTCCTGACCTGAGGAAACGCAAGAGAGGTTTCCCACCTCGCCCACAGGCAGCCGCTGCTGCAGTTCTCCCAGTTCGGCGTGGGACCCCTGGAGCATTTCCTGCAGGTACGCCCAACCTGCACTGCGAACACCGGGCCCAGGGTCCACCCACCTACCACTGACAGTGCCCCAGGTGCTAAACATCGGAGCCAGCCCTGAGCCCTGGCTCTGGCCTCGTGCATGGCCCATCCTCCTCCCGCCTCCCTGCAAGTGCAGGCCTTGCAAAGATCAAGGCCAGCGGGGTCCCTTTCTCCCCAGGCTTGCCATGCAGCAGGACAGAGAAGCTGACCAAGTCATCCTAGGACCAGAACGTCCGGGATGAGGACCTCGGGACAGAGAGCAAGGTGCTCTGGACAAAGGGACACTAGACCAGGCAGCAGATCACACACAGGGAGCACAGAGCAGGGACAGGTGGGGGACAGGCACAGGCGCTAGCTTGTGGCTAGTGTCAGGGAGCAGCAAGAGGGGCAAGGCCACCAGGGAGAAGGCAGGAAGGAGGGCAGGCTCCAGAGCCAGGGCAGCTGGGGTGCTCTGCGAAAGTGGCGACACCCAGGAGCCCTGCTCTAGGACCGGCTCTCCTGCACTGGTCCTGAATCCGCAGTGTGTCCAGTAAAAATACATCATCAGAGTTACCTGCTCCACGTTTTTTACTGATAAAGGCACGGTATGCTATGGAGAATGCCTGCGGACTGACTCCAAAGACAGGAGAATCTTTCTGCCTCTTTCGGCGAGAATCCCAACCTTTGGTTGTTACCTTGGTCACATTGTGACCCTTATCACTCTTACTTCTGCTTCAACTACTTTTTAAGTTTCTCCTGTGGGCTGGGAATTTAGCTCAGTGGTTCTGCCACCTGCCTTGAAGCACAAGGTCCAGAGTTTGAGTCCCACTAGCAAAAAAAAACAATTTTTTTTCCTCCAGAGAATCTTACTAATGTAACTACTTATTAAAAAACTGAATACTGCACAATCCCTTTATTCGGATGGGTTTTTGGAAACAAGCTATTCTCTTCTCTCTCTCCGTCTCTCTCACTTTGTAGTCCAGGCTGATGTCGAATTCAAACAAAAAAGGTGGCACCTGGTGCCTCCAGCTCTGAGAGCGGAAAACAATTTCAGGGGCCCAGGAGCAGCTGCCAACAGAGCAAGGCAACCAGGACACTGAGGCAGACCCGGGCGGCGACAGGAGCCTGGCCGGTGCAGGAAGCAAGGACCCAAACACCACGAGGGTGGATGACAGGAGAGGCGGGGGGCGAGACACTAGGCTGCAGAGAGTGGGCAGCATGGGCGGGGACAACCAAGCCAGGGCTCCACTGGCCCAGACAGGACAGGAGGCCATGTGGGAAGAGGCAGCAGATCTGTGAGGGAGGCCGGCAGGGTCCAGAGGCCCGAAGCCAGCTGGCAGGAGTTGGGGACTCCAGGGGCTCTCTCCCAGGCCACGGGAGGCTCTGCCAGGGCACGGGCAGCAGAAGGACACCCGAGCGGGTGGGAGTGCAGGCAACTAGAGGCCAAGGAAGGGCGGCTGCCTGAGATGTGCCAGAACCCGAGGCCGTGGCGGTGGAGGACTGGGGTTTTCTGGATTTCTGACCTGGGAGTGGCTGGAGGTGTGAGGTTTGGGGCAAGTAAGCTTTGTGGGGAATGAGAGGCGGGGCAGGGTAGGAGACCAGCCTGCACCAGCGATGGCGGACTTTTATAGCTCTCAGTGACAACAGACAGCCACTGCTGATCTAGGCACTGAGGACAGAGTAAGGCGTGACCAAGTGACAGGAGGCAGGGTCAGCGAGGGAGGACACACTTCCAGCTAAGAAGTCCCTGGGAGGGATGCAGGAGAAGCCAGGCCTCGGGGAGCTCCCACGGGTCCCTCCTCAGGGCACATGTGTGTCCCAGAGCCACCTCCACCCTCTCGGCCCTGTGTTGGGTCAGGCTGCAGAACGAACTGGGACCAGGACCCATAGCCGAGGCCCGCCACTTCCAGCATGACCTGGCCACCAGCCTGGTTGCTAGGAGAGACTCGCTGGCGTCTATAAGGCTTATGCTCCGGGCTGGGACTTTTCTGTCAGCTGTGAGTGACTCCGGGAAGCTGCAGTGGCCCTGCCCTCCGGAAACTGCTCACCAGAGAAAGGGTCGGAACGTTTAGCAAGGCTCATCTTTGGTACAGCACATGTCCAGCATAAGCAAAGCCCCGGGGTTCAATCCCTAGCATCACAAAAAAGCACATTTTCTGGGCTGACCGCAAGACTGGAGCCCAGGGAGGTAGGTGGTGGCCCTGACTCCTGCTCTCAGCAAACCCCGGCAGGGACCAATCAGCCAAGGAGGGCACTGTGATTACCAGGCCCAAGCACCAATCCTGCTTGGAGCACGAGGCTTGGCTTCCCTTTCCCAGAGGATAGTAGTGACAATAGTCAAGGCCACCAGAGAGGCCACTGCACTACACCTCTGTCCTCCGTCCTTGCTGTGACCCCATGGATAGTTTGATTCTGGTTTTTGTTTTTTGGAGGAGACATGGTCTTGTTTATAATTCAGGCTGGACTTGAACGCTCTGTGTAGCCCATGCTGGCCTCCAACTCATAGATTCTCCTGCCTCAGCCTCCCAAGTGTTGGGATTACAGGCATGTACCACCTCACCTGGCTGACAGTTTGTTTCATATTCCCATTTTTCAGACTAGGAAATTGAAACTCAAATAAGCAGAAATGGAAACAAAGGCACAGAGCTGGGCAATGCTAGAACCCGATGAAGACCTAGGCTCCCTAGGGCCCCAGCCTGAGCCCGACCCTGCACCCTGGATGGATCCAGGCTCAGCTGGCCTGGTGCCCGGTCCCAGGTTGTATCCTCTCAGCTGTTGGCACTGGGCCACAGCCGGGCCTTCCTGACAGGAGAACTCTCAGGTCACCTGCAGGTGGCTAAGAGGCCCTGCGGCCAGGATACCAAGTGGGCCGGGCTGCTGCGTTACTGTCTCTGAGGCTTTTTCTCCAAAGCCCCAAGGCTGAACACCTCTCACCCTGCTTTCAGCTGCTGCCCACCAGCCCAGCCAAGCAGCTGCCACGGAAGCAGCGTTTGGACAGAGCCCCCAGTGCTGCAGTGGGCTGTGCAGACTTCAGAGTAGGGCGAGACCTCTTTCTCAGAATTGCAGGGCCCAGGCCCCACTGAGTCAGCTGACACTGCGGCTGGGAGGTTGGGGGACCGATGAGAGCACGGGCCTGCCTGGGAAATGTCTGTGACAGCAGAGAAGCCGACTGTGCTCTTCTCGATCCCAACCCTTCCCCTAACACAAGCCAAGCTCCAGCCCTCGGAGCCCAGGTCTCTGAGCTTCCTGTTGAGCCCTGGATTTTCCATGGGTGCAGCAGAGCTGGGAGACCTCCCTTGTGTCACCTGTCTGGAGTGGTGGCTGTGGAAGCCAGGCCGAAGGCCAGACACGAGGGCCGCCCACGGACCAGGGCAGTGGCCTCACGGGTCACGCAGGAGACATCAAGGGTGAAGCAGCAGGTTACATGGGAGACCCTGGGGACAGAGACTCGGGGAAATGCGGAAAGCAGCACAGCCACAGAGCGCGGGAACCCCGGCCCACCACACGTGACACCCAGGAGGCGTCAGTACATCACAGTACCTGCAATGCATGTGGCCTTGCTCTATGCCCCGGCTACAGCCAGGGCCTTGTGATTCCTCACCCCACACTTCTGACCTGGTGCAGGGTGACAGCAGCCGGCAGGAAGCTTCCTCCCAGGGCATCAGGGCCGCTTCTGCCCCACCCAGGGCCAGTTACCCCACCCAACACCTGCCGCAGAGCCTCTCTACCCACTGAGAGAAGGGCAGACAAGAAAAGAGGCCGCCTCAGGTCACACAAAGCTCCCTCCAAGCTTCTGCCAGGGGCTGCTTCCCATCGGGACCCAGGGAGATGGTGAGCACACTGTGGGGTCCCGGAGGGGACACTGTGACATATTTCACACATTTGGGAGCGCTAGAACTTCAGTGTTGGGAGAGGAGAGGCCAGGAGAGGCCTGGGGTTCAGCGAACTGGACACACATTCTGCTCCTACTTGGCCTCTAACCACCACCCTGGCCATGCCGGTTTGCAGCCAGCCTGTCCCTGTGACTCTTCCTCCCCTGGCGGACGGCCCTCACGCCCCAGCTGCAGCGAGACAGTCCCGGCTTAAAAGGCTTCTGCAACTTTCAGACACACTCCGGCCCACCAGCCAGCCCTCCCTTCCCTGCACACAGGCTGCGCTTGATCTTCCAGGCCGTGCGTGCTTTGTGGCTCTTTGCTCCCAGCTCAGCACCCGGAGGGAGCTCCAGGCACTCCTGCCTACCCAGCCCCGCCTGGCATCGGCTTGTTCGGGGGCTCTGACAATCCTGGTTCTTAACACACTCAGCGCACAGGAGACCGGGGCAGCCTGGCGTGTCCCAGTTCCTCCCGTGCCTCAGATTTCATAAAGAAACTCAGGTCCTAAGAGACCAGAAGCAGACCCTAGACACTTAGGTACCCGAAGGCTGGGTCCCTGGGCCAGCGCTGGGACCACAGGGACTCAAAGATGCAGAGGTGGAGCCTCCTCTCTCCCGCAGGTACCGTCTGCCCCATCCTGCCTGAGACCCGGAAGGTCCAGCCCCATGGCTGCTCTCGATGGAGGGCTGAGGCAGAGCTCGGGGTTCGAGTTCCTGGCTGGGGAGGCCCACCCGGCCACTCACCCTCTCCAGATCCTGCCGCAGGTGTGTGAAGAGCTGCAGGCGGCGGTAGAGGACGTCCTGCTCCTGCTGGGCAAGGTTGTCCACCTCGTCGGTCTTGGGTGTCAGCAGTGGCTGGTTGGCGTTGGCTTTCCGCTTCAGCTTCCAGTACTGGTAGACGAAGTCGACCAGGGCCTCGGCCAGGTCCAGCCGCTCGGCCACCTCGGCGGGCTCCACCAGCTCGTAGAAGTCTTCTTCCAGCTGCTGCAGCCGCTGTTTGCGCAGCGTCACCTTTTCCAGGTCCTCACCGGCCTGGCTGGGCTCGGCAGGCTCGGAGGGGGGCTGGCTCCGGGGGCCGTCGCTGTGCTCCTGGCAGAAGGACTTGAACTTGACCTCGTCATTGTCTGCTAGGAGGGTTCGCATTTCCAGGCCGTGGTCAAAGGCGCACGTGACGTGGAACGCCGTGACGCAGGAGGGCATTGAGCACTGGAGGGAGAGAGGGGTGGGCTCGGGCACTGAACAGCCCTGGCGGCTGGGGCTGCCCCTGCAGAAGGCCGGGGAGATGCCAGGGGGGAGGGCCTCGCTTCCACTGTCCTGCACAGGACCAGAGGCACAGCAGGTGGAGGGGAGGCGCTGGGAGCACCTGGGGAGGTCGAGATCAGCACTGTACACTTCTCTGGGGATAAGCAGCATCTCTGCACAGGTAAATGACGTTGGAGGAGGCCTGATCCTCCCTCCCAGCCCCGCGGGAAGACCATGGGCAGCAATAATGTGTCCAGCCACTGTGCAGGCACCAGTGATGCCGGCCTCACAACCCACCTAAAGATCTCATAAATGGGCAGAGGCACCGAGAGCTTCCTACTCTGTTCCTGCAAAGATCAGTGAGACAAAGACACCTCCGGCCCCCAAAACCACAGATCAGAGGCACCCGCATCACCTCTGACTCTGTGAGAAGTGCAAATTCTCAGCTTCACAGCAGAGCTCCTGAATGAGGACCTCTGGGGAACGAACAGCCTGGAGATGCGCGTGTGTCACCAGCTCTCAGGCTGACTTGGATGCAGACCAAAATCTGGGAGCCACTGGCGGCTCGGAGGGACCAGTGCAGCCCTCTGTTGGCAGAGCCAACTGGCTTAGCAGAAGAGGAAGTTTGATTCTTGCTCCTTCTGTGTGCCAAGTCTGCCGTCAAAAGCAAGGTCAAAGCCAGGTTTGGTGGTACACACCTGCAATACCGGCACTCTGGGAGGCCGAGGCAGGAAAATCGAAAGTTTGAGGGCACCCTGGACAACTTAGCTAAACCTGGTCTCAGTATTTGAAAAAGGCTGGCACCATAGCTCAGTGTGAAGACCTTGGTGTCTGTGCCCATTCCCTGGATGACCTGAGGATTAAGGAATGCTCCTCCAAACAGGCGCGGTCCTAGGTCTGGCCCCAGTCCCGCCCTTCCAGAGCAGATCTGTACAGCTTGGGGGAAGGTGCAGGGGGTGGGAGCCGCCCATTTCCCAGGGCACCCCGGGAGCTCCTCTCTGCAGCAGGCTCCCAGCAGCAGGGGCGTGGCCACATACCTGGATGCAGGTGCCCGTGCACTCCTTGCACAGGCTACAGGACAGAGCCCAGCGGCTGGCTGGGATATTGGAGATCTTGGTAATGGGCTCCATCTTCTCAGGGCACCCTATGCTGACCTGGGCAGGACACAGGAGCAGCTTCAGATCCTGGTCTGTCTTCAGAGCTGCCCCAAATGGGGGTGAGCTTTACATCAAGGACCAGGCACACAGAGCTAGGCTAGCGCTGAACTCCTAGACCCTGAGTTCCTCCTGACTCCTAAGAGGCGCAACCCAAGTTCAAGGCCTGAATCCTTCCCGGCCAAGCTGGCTGCTGGGTCTAAGCTCCTCATCCATGATCAGTCCTAGATTATGAATGTGACAACCCACTGTGTGTGTGACGCAGGCCTCCAGAGAGAGGTGTGTGTGTAGATGAGAGACACGTGAGGCCCTCTTCCTTCTGCACCTGCACCTTTCTTTCTGGGACCAAAACTATAGGCCGCATGACAGTGTCTCTGGGGGATGTGAAATTCAGGTCTTGCTGGGCTTAGCAGTGCCTTTGCTTAATCTCTGTGGAGACAGGCCTGTGCCAGGCTCTGCTCACTGCCCCTGCCTGAATATGGAGGAAGGGGCCCTTGTGGGCTCTGTCTGCTGGGCCGGGCCCAACAGACTGAGCAGTAGCTCCAGCCTTCAAGATGTGGAACCGAGCCAGAGACCATGGCTTACCCCTGGTAACTACCATCACGGAAGCCTGGACTGTGGGCTGACACAGGAAGGGAAGGGCCGCCCAAGGACAGGGACACCTGGGTTGCTTCTGGGCACAGGCAGCACTGGAGTGGGGCCTCAGCCTACAGGGCACATGGCGAGGCTACTGCTGAAATCCAGGCAACTTCAATATTTCACATTTTGAAGAAAATGCTGTCTCCCAGGAGCTCTCAGCCTCTCTGAACCTGGGCCACAGCCAGCCCCACGACCTTCCCAGCTGGCCTTCGCCACAGCCCATGCCTCCGGCTAACCACAGCCACCACAGTGGGCCCACTGGCCAACTCTGAAGTAGACTCAGACACCAATATTCTTTCTGGTCAGGTGGCCTGTGTTCTGAACACGCAACCTGACTTTGTGGAAGCCACTGCCCAGAGTCAGATGGATCCTGCAACCTGCTCCCCCTGGAGGCGGCCACCCAACTTCTGCCCTACATCAGACCTGTCTCTCAACCTTCTGGCAGTTCACCACCCACTGTCCCACCTAAGCCATGCCCAAGGCCACAATTAAAGAGGTCCCCGGGGGCCGCTGCCTTGCTTCCTCCCAGGCCCCGCTCCTGGGATCCCTCAGTGGTCACACAGCCCAGCGTTTTCTCTCCCCGGGCTCTGCACCCAAGCTCCATGCAGCTCTGTCTCCCCAAGCGCTGCTCCTTGGGCCACCACAAACTCACGCCTACCCGTACCTCAGGAATCCACAGGGCGCAGCTGACGTGCACCCACTTGGTCCCACTTCTGGTGGGCTTCAAGGCTCCTCCTCGCTTGGGGCAGAGCAGGCACTTTGGCTGGACTCCCAGGGCACACGTCCGGCACAGCCAGCTGCCCGTGGGCACCTTAAGGATCCCGTAGCATGCCTGGGGACAGAGCGGGCAGCCATGGCTTAGCGGCACTGGCCAATCTGGGGTTGGCTAGCAGTGGGGCCCAGCGCAGCCCCTGGGTCTCTCGTGTTCTCCAAATCCCGGCACTTCAGTCCTCCGTCACAGGGTGCAAGGCCACCCACTGCTGGAGAAGACTCACCTTAGCCAGATTCCTTAAGCCGCGTGGACTTGGGAGGACCCCTGAAACCCTCCCTCATCTCAAGCTGCACACAGAACGGGTCCTGCACTGGCTAGGACCAACGCCAAGGGCGTTCATCTCCTTTACACGGGCGTGCGGCCAGGGCGTCTCCTTAGGACTCACATGTCCATGAGGGCTGCTGGGCCTACAGATGCTGGACCCACCCGAGCCAGCTGCAGCCCTGCCTGAGCCCCCAGGTGCTGATCCCACGGCACACATGACTTCAGAGTCAGGACCAGGGTAGCTCCACGGGGTCCCTGTCAGGACTGCTGCAAACCAAAGACCTACAGCCTCCAGGCCCAAGAAGGAGGGAGGATCTGCCCCAGCTCCTCCTGGCTCTAACCAGTAATAGCAGCAGGTACTCACAGTCCTCACTATATTGCCCTGAGCAAATAACTCACAACCAACAATTTAGTCCTCAGGACAACGTTGCTTTAAATTTTTGCAGGGCCAGGCATCTAATCCAGGGGCTCCTGTTATACTTTCAGCCCCAACAACTCTCACTTTTATTCATAGCTGAAGGAGCAGAGAGATTAAGAAACAGGCCCCAAGTCACACAGCCCGTGAAGGACAGAGCCAGGTTTTGAAACCTGGCGGCCCAGCTCAGGGTGGGCTGTCGGTTACCACCCAGGGGTGTTGCCTATTAGCAAGTTCAGGGTGTGAGGAGCCCAAGGTGGGAGGACTGGAGGGAGACACGGAGACAGAGGCCACCCAACAGGCGTGTGCTGAAGCCCAGGGGATCACACAGCTTTCGGTGAGTTGGGACGGGGAGGCCCACCTGGTGCACACAGACATTGCACTTGTCACAGAAGACCATCTCGTTGCCATCCTCCCCCTCAGGGGACCGGCACACGTCACAGACGACGTCCTCGTCATACTCAATGCCGAGCCCCTCCTGTGTCTCGATGGCCCGCGCCATATTCTGGTGGCACAGAGTCTCCAGCTCCTCCAGCACACGCTCCAACGTCAGCTCGTCCAGCCCAGGCTTCTCTGGGGGAGGACAGCAGGGGGCAGGGTTAGGACCAGGCTCGACTCCCTCCAGGACTGCAGGGATCCAGCACAGACACAGGGGCTGGACGAGCCAGGCTCCAAGGCCTCACCAGCACACGGTGGCCCCGAGTACGTGTGTGTGCAGGTCCCTGCTGTTATGCTGTGCACAGGGGCACATTCTGAGGGGCCCGAGGGTCACGTCGGCCCTCACCCGCTCTCTTCTTGTGACGCTCACACCTCCTACAATTTTCCCAAGAACCCTGTGAGTCTGTGACATGGATGTCCCCACTGGACAGCTGCAGGACCAGGACACAGAGACAATGACTACCCTGGCAGTAGGGACTTTGCACACAGCCTTGGCCACTGCCTTTCAGAAGCTAAGGATGCTGGGGTTGGGAAGAAAAGCCACCCTCCCAGTCCAGGCCACCCCCAGAGCGATGGTCACCTACCCATCTCCTTGAGCTCGGAGTTGATGAGCTCCAGCCAGTAGGCGTCAATCTCATCCAGGTCATAGCGGCTGCCCCCGGGCCACGTGGGCTGGGAGCCTTCACCCAGTGCAGAGCTGTCTGGGGACACCTGCGTGGGGGGGCCTTCCAGTGGCGGGAGGATCCTGGGAAATAAGGATGGAGGTCAGGAGGCAGGGCCCTCAGCCTGCTCCACTGGGCCAATCGGCGCCAGGGAGGATCAAGAGCAGTGGCTAACTGTGAGGTGTGCAACATCGGTGCCCAGTGGGACCTACACTCATTTATGCGCTCCGCCCATTTCTTCCTCCACCACCTGTGGGCAAGAGGAAATGGAAGACCCATGGCCCCAGCTCTCCACACGGACATCTGCCCTGCCAGCCAGAGCACTTGCAACTGCCCCCACCAGGACAGCCAGGCCTCGGCCAGAGCCCCACTCCCACCTGGACCTGGCCCTACTGGCCTTGTAGGAGGGGTGCCAAGTGCTACTCCAGGCAGAGCCCTGGTATAGAGCCGGCTGGACCCCGGGGCCTTTGGCACAGTCCCCAGACCAGGCATGGGCCAGGCATCCTCTCTGTACCTCACCGCCAGCCCTTCCTTCACCTGAGGCCAGCGTTCCACTGGGGTCTGAGCCCTACCACCTTCCACTACTTCAGCCCAGGGTAAAAAAGTTTACTGCCAGAGGGACGCAGTGCTGCCCACCTTGTCCTCCCTGGATGCACTCCATGAGCGGTGAATCTTTCTCTGAACTCAGGGCTGCATACATGCTAGGCAGGTGCTCCACTACTAAGCCCCAGCCCCAGCCCTTTTATTTTGTACCAGAGATCCAACTCAGGACCTTGTACTACAAGGCGGGCACAGTGCCACTGAGCTAAATCCCCGGCACTAAAATTTTATTTTGAGTCTCACTGAGTTTCCCAGACTGGCCTTGAACCTGCAATTCTCCTGCCTCAGCCTCCTAAGAAGCTAGGACGACAGGTGTGGGCCACCATGTTACCAGTGTGACCTGTCTACCCTCTCAAGCAAGAAGGGGCCTCTTGCCTCCTTATAAACAAGATGCACCTACTATGGGCCCAGGGTGACATCCTTCTCAATGCTCCAAGCCCTTGAGTCCTGGTTGCAGGTCGAGGCCGAAGTCTAGCACGTCCTCATGCTGCCTTACACCTGTCTTCGAGGGCTGGCCAGAGGACTGCAAAGGCTAAGGAGGGCAAAGCTCTAAGTGCCTGGCATGTGGTAAACACGGCATATGCACCCATGTGAGTGTGTGTGCGCGCTCTCTGAGACCTCTGGGTAGCTCCTTGTTCCTCCTGAAATCAAGAACAAGGGGGCACTTTGCCTCGGGAGGGCAGCTCCCCTTGGCACTGCTGCCTGCTGCCCCTCACATCCGGATATCAGACCACAACGCCACTCTTCCCAACATGCAGGAGGTTGCCATGGTTATTGCCTCAGAGCCTAGCCTCCACCTGGCCGACCCTGCCAGCCCCAGAGGGCCCTCACCTGCTCAGGAGGCCTCCAGGGTCACAGGTGGGGCTGCCAGGGGCTGTGACTCTGTGTGGAGTCGGGAGGGGAGGGCAGGACCCGAGGTGGCACAGAGACGCGGCTGGGTGGTGGGGAGGGTTCTCACACTCCGGAAAATGGCCCAGTATCAGCAAGAGGGGCAGGACGCAGGAGACCGGGAGGAAGGCAGAGACCCAAGGACAGAGAGAAAAGCCTTCAGCCCACGGGCTGAGCACCACCTTCGCCTGTGCCAGAGCCCACATTCGGGAGGACATCGGTGATGGTGACGGGGACGTGCCCGCCCTGCACAGGTGATTCTAAAAGGAGCAACACTAATGAGCAGTCCAACAAAATGCTGTCTGTCCCAGTGAAACTGTCATTCCAATAAACGCTTTCTGTCAAAAGCACAGCCTGTCATTTTGTCATGACCCGGCTCTGTCTGAGTTCTAAGTTTCCAGTGGTCCCCTTGTGGCGTGACACTACTCATACGGGCTCACCTCGTCAGCTGCCACCTGGCCGGAGCTGTGGCACCAGCATCACCACCCTCCCTTGGGGAGCTAGGCCGAGGAGTGCACACCAGGGAAGGCAATGCCTGAGTCCCTCGGGCTCTCCTTTTCCCTGGGTTTTGGAGGAAGCTCTCCTGCCAAGTGCAGACTGACCCGAGCCTAAAGCCAAGGCCAAGGCCTCACGCTCACCACAGCCACAGCCAGCAGCGCAGAGCCCAGCTGGGCAGACGTGGACCACTGCCCGCTGCCCGCCCCAGGATGGCAGACTCACACCAGAGCTTGGTTTCCCCCCGGGCCAAGTCTTCCATCCACGAGGTGGGCAGGGCTGCTCACAGCCAGGGAAAGAAGGACAGGGGGCGGGACGGCGGGGAAGCAGCTGAGGATGGTCCTCAGAGCCACGGGCAAAGGCTGTAACTCTGGGCCTCACACAGGCAACACAAGGTTTGTTCCTGTGGCCTGTGATTTCCTGGCCCAGCCCACTAGACCCTGGCAGCCCAGAAGGAAATTCCCCAGAATTCCCCGACTTCCTCATCTGCAAAATGGGGCCAGCGTCATGTGCTATATGAAGCAGGTAAGATCATTCAGCGAGAAGAGCATCACGCACTCAGGGCTCCTGCAGTGACTGCCCACTCTGGCTGCAGTACAGGCTTCCAAATGAGGCACCCAAGGAGATGGAGCGGCTGGGAAAGGCAGATCAGGATGGGCTCTCTGCGTCTAGCTGGCGGCCTGCCCCGTCGTCCCGGGCCCGGTATATGTACCAACAACTCGCCATGCGTACTCTCATTCCAGCCTCACCACACCGTCAGGTGGGCACTGGTATTATGCCCACTTTACAGCGGAGGAGAAGGGCTCCAAGCGGTCAAGTCACAGGTTAGGTGGCCAGGGGGAGGGCGTGGATGGCAAGGAGCTGACTCACATGGTCAGCCCTGGAAGGGGAGGTGCCCAGTCATGAATCCATTCTCCAGTTAACTCATCCGAGGCAGGAGGAGGGGCCTCCTAGCATGCCCAGAGCACCCGGGCTGGACAAACTGGCTTCGCCTGTGACCTCATGCCCAGCACAGGGCTCTCGGTTGTCTACGAGCCGGTCACAGGTGCAGCTGCCACAAAGTGACAGTGCCAACATCGAGGGAGCGGGCAGCTGCGATCTGTCCCGAGCCGGGCGCAAGCCAAAGCCACAGGCGGCAAAGGTGGAGAAGCCGCAGCCCGGGACCCCAGGGGCTGAGTTCAGAGGCGAGTGGGCAGGGAGGCCAGGACACCACCCCTCCGTGCTGAGGGCTGCCAGGGTGTGCTCCACACAGGAGCCTTGGTGGGACTCTGAGGCCGGGTGCCCACCCTGGCCACAGCATTTAGGGATCTGTACCCGCCCAAGACCTGTGGGCCACAGAGATGGGCAAGGGGTCCTGTCCACCAAAACAACTGCTTCCAGAGCACTGACTGTTTGCTGGTAACCTACTCACACCTCTAAGAGGTCCTTGAAAGGGTTATTTTAAAAGAATTTAGGCCAGGCATGGTGGGCCACACCTGTAACCCTAGCACTTGAGAGGCTGAGGCAGAAGGATTGCCACAAGTCAAACGGCAGCTTGGGCTACATAGTTCAAGGCCATCCTGAGCTATATAGGGAGACCCTGTCTCAAAAGACAAAAATAAATAAATGAAGCTAAGAATGAAAGAATGAACAAGGCCCAGGGTTCTATCCCCAGCACTACCACCACCCCCCAACAAAGTTAAGAGCACGGCTTATCCCTGTTGTAAGGAACTGTTAAAAGCCATGGGCCAGGGATTTAGCTCAATGGCACCATGCCTGCCTCACAAGTGCAAGGTCCTCAGTTCGATCCACAGTGCAGGGGACAGGTACACACACACAAACGCGCACGCGCGCGCGCACACACACGCACACAGCCTGGTGATTCAGAGCAGGGATAGAGCTCAGTGCTAAGAGTGCCTGTCTAGCATGCACAAGGCACTGGGTTCAATTCCCAGTCCTGCAAAAAGTGTGGCGATTTTTCTAACTCGCTGTTTAGGGACCCAGCCCCGAGTGACACCACCCTAACCCACAGCCAGTGTTCACAGAGTGCTCCCTGTGTGGCAGGTCCTGTGCCAAGGGTCTTGCTCCATCATTTTACCACATCATCTGCACCACGACAAAAGAAGGTTAACACTGTCATTCCCATTTCACAGACAAGGGCACCGAGGCCCAGAGGTTACCTTTCAGTCCCAGACTCACACTCAGTGTGCGTGGCAACCTGGACTCCACCAGTCTGGCTCTGGAGCTGAGCCCAAACCCAACACCAGGGAAACCCGCTGGCATTTCAGGAACACATCAGTGGTTTTTCAGAGGAGAGAAACAAACACAGAGAGGTGGCCCAGCAGGACCCAGGGCTGTGACCCCACCTCCCCCGCCCGGGACCTGACTCACCTCACCACAGGCTCCGGGATGGCCTCCGCGCCTGCGGGCACCTGCACGCCTTTCTCCCATTCCTGCCGCCACGGATCCGCCAGGATGTAATAGTCATCCGGACTGAGCTGGTAGGAATCCGGGATCTTCATGGCTGTGATCAAGTCTGTTCGGAAAACCTGCCGGGTGGGAGGGGAAGGAAGGACGGATGGGCTTTAACTGCCTCTGGGGGTGCTGCTCCACAGCCACAGCAAGAGGTGAATGTGTTCAACTGAGGCGGTTTCCCGCACGTGCCTCGCAGGGGGGAAATCTTCCAGAACTCACTCTTCTGACCTAGGACAAGGGGACAGTGCGAGGGACAGGCGGGAGCGGGCTTAAAAGATAGGGGATAAGGCTTGTGGAGAAAGGCAAAAATAAAATAAGCGAATAACAAAAGCAAAAATAAAAAAGGAAAAAAAAATCAGGGCAGAAAGGCCTCTGCGCATGCAGTGCTGCCGTTCTGTGACTGGAGATTTGCCCCTTGATGTTTCTTTTCTTTTTGGGGGGTACTGGGGATCGAACTCGGGATCTTGCGCTTGCAAGGCAGGCAGTGGAACCACTGAGCTAAGTTCCCGGTGGACATTTCAAACTGTGAGTGAGACAGATCTGTATCCGGAGGCACAGGCGGCAGTAGAAAAAAACGGAAGGGAAACATTCTTCACAAACAGTGAGGGAAAAGGACAGGGCTTAGGGGAGCTTAGAGAGCAGTTGCACATGAGTAGCGACCTCCAAGGTCCCTCAAGGACAAGGACAGCACATCCCCATCTCTGCAGGGTTGTGTTACCCCACCTGTAGCCGTGACGGGTCTTCCTTCACCATCAAGCCTGTCCAAACTCCCTCGGGCCAGCACCTACCTGCTCCCTCAGAGAGAAGCTGCTCTTCCTGGCGTCCCATGGTCCCCCACTTCCACCCAGAATAAGCTTCAAGTCCACACCCAGTGGGCACTGGGAATCCTCCTGCCTCTCTCATGGAATTTCACTGCAGCGCCCCCTCGCCAAGTGCAGATGTGAAAGATGGTGGCCCTCTAGATACCGCACGACCTTCTCGGACACCTGTTTCAGGTGATTAGCACTTGAGAACAAGCTAAAGAACTCACATGCATGAGACAAGACACACCACCTCAAGAGGAAACACTCTGCAGGGCTAGGATTTATTTCAGCGGTCCTGCAACCTGCCTCATAAGTCCCAAGGTCCTAAGTTCAATCCCTGGTACCAAAAAAATAAAAGCAAAAACAAAAACAAAAACACTTCGAGCCTACCCTTCCTGGAAAGGGGACACCCAGTGCTGTGTTCAAGGAGAGTCGGCCGATTCAGCCCTCTGGGCCAAGCGAGCCAGTGGTAACCTCTTCCTGGGGGGCCCACTCACGGGCTATGCGCACCCTACTGGCATCCAGAACCCGAACCAGGAGGAAAAGCACCAGCAGTGCACCCAGGGGACCGGCAAGTGCATCTTGCAGAACTTTATCAGCACCCAGCTAGAGAGGGCCCTGGTTTTAAAAAGGTCAAGATTCTTGATGACTCTATTTGCCAATGTAATGTAATTGTTAAGACTAACACCCTAACACTTAATTAGGGTGCCAGTGTGAAAAAATTAATATCAGATTATGATTAAATGCTAATTAAACAAAGATGGAACATGGCTACAATTTCACAGCCCTGATAATTTGCATATCTTATTAGTAAGCAGTAAGAAAACTAATAGAAGAGTGCAAACTGGGTGTTTTCGAGGTTCCCTTCAGCAGCGCCCCTTTGCTAGAGGGAAGACTTTCCCCACTGAGACCCTTGGAGACGGTCAAGTCCAACAGGGCTGCATCTGGATCACTGCCCCCAGGCCTGAGCACAGGACTGCCAAGGGTGAGCGGCCCACCCCAAAGTGACTCGGAACTGCTTCACACCGCTTGGTAAAATCACCTTGCTGCACAAACGCACCCTACAAGAGCCCTGAGACACCCCCAGCCTCTGTCCCTCAGGGCTAGGGACAAGGCCCTAGCATTTTCGGAAACCAAACCAAGTGGATTCCCCAAGCGGAACATGCAAATCTGGCGGCAAGCCCTCTAGCAGTTCCTCCCTCAGGAAGGACTGCAGGGCACACCAGGCCTGGCAATCAATCTACCAAGCACTTGTTACCCTTTGGCAATGGCGCTCCCTTTCAGGAGATGCTGTCTGGGATCCTCTTCCAGTCTGCCAGAGAGCCTGGCTCCCTGTGCCCTATTTATGGGTGCCTGACTTTACCCTAAAGTGTCAGTCCAGCTCCTATCTGCCCGGAGGAGGCCTTACCCATCCCCAGGCTGGGCTCTGCTTTGTCTGAACCCCCACAGCACCTGTGTTGGAAACTCCTTTGTTTATTGCCCCATGGGGAGTTTGCTGAGGTCTGGCAGGGCTGCAGGGGTGAGGCCTAGCAGTGTACATAGGGCCGGGAACTCACCAGGAACAAAACAGGATCAAGATCTTTCCATGGATCAGCCACTCCTCCCTGGCTGCTTCTCAAGCCCCACCTGGGCAGCTAGGGTCTCCATGACCTTCCAGAGAAGCCTCTGTACACTTGTGTAGAACATAAATCCAGCAGCCCATTTCTAACTTGAACACTTTTTGTTCTGAATTGCCAGGGGTTTGCTTGGAAAAGAATCCACTACTTTTAAAATTCCTTTGAATAATTTATGAAACTAAAGAAACAAATGGATACTGATGAGCAGAATTCTTGCCACGGCAGGAAAGTTAGAAGCTGGAAAACAATATTCTTTTTTTTTTTTTGGTACCGGGGATCGAACTCAGGACCTTATGTTTACAAGGCAGGTGGCGGAACCCCTGATCTAAATCCCCAGCCCAACAAGTAATTTTCTTAACCACGTGAATCTTTATTACTTTTCTCTCTTTTGGCAGAAATTGACAAACTGTCCTTAAAGGTCTGTGCTGCCTAGCAACCAAGTTCTGCTGAGCTGCCTGGGAGACATTCACTGCAGCTTCCTCAAACAGTGTGGAGGATGTTTAAAGACCTCAAACTCCAACTTAATAACCAAGCACCAAGGGTGCCAATGCAGCCTCAGACGGGGCTGAAGACCTTGCCCTGCCCAGATGTAGGGACATCATCTCAGAACATGTCGTGCAGCCCTGCCCTGGGATCCTTTACCTGAAACCTAAGTCCTACCACTTGCGAGTCTACTTTTCTACATGTCTCCCCAGAACCAAAAACAGGCTCTGGAAGAAGGGTCACTGGCGCCTGTGAGCTCCAAAAGCAAATAACGACAACAGAGAGCTCCCAAAGTGCTGACGCACAGCTGGCAGGCACCGCACGGCCGTAATACACGCTGGTGTGACCTGCGGCCACTACTGGAACGTCTTATCCTGGAGCCTTGGTTCTCCCTTCTCTCCAGGGCTCAATTAGTATGAAGGAGTCCTTTAGACTGAGAGGCGCCAGGAGGAAGTTCGGTTACTTAAGGCTCCAGCACTTATCACAATTACAAAATATAATTATTTGTGTAATTTTTTGCTTAATGTCCAACTCCTCTAATAATCAACTGGAGAAAAAGAGACACCCCACACATTCTATGCTCTGTCTGTCTTGACTGTGCCTGTGTGCAATCTTGCACTTGGTCTACAGCAAGGGCTCAAGAAACACTTGTGTTGTTTTGGGTTTTTTTTTGGTTTTTTTTTTTGGCTTTTTGAGACAGGGTCTCACTACAGGTGAGACTGACCTGGAACTCACTACGCAACCCAGACTGATCTCGAACTCACAGTGATCCTCCTGCCTCAGCCTCCCCAGCATGGGGATTACAGGCGTGCGCCACCATGCCCCGCAAGAAACACTTGTGAAATGAGAATCCCGGGGTCTGTCTGAAGCATTGCTGCACCCTGACACTGTCTGGCAGAGCCGGGTGCGGAGCAGGGAGGCAGGAGATGGACCCAAATGACTCCCCCAGGCAGAACTAGAAAATGGCCCTGGTCACTGTCCCACAGCTAAGAGAAATGGCTTTGGCCAGGACAGCTTTTCCTTCACTTCTCTGTCCATACAGACCTGCAACTCCAAGGAACGCTTGAGGGTCCATCCTGAAAAGCCAGCCTCATTTTAAATCAGTCTGTCCTAAGTATTCCTATCATCAGAAATAACAGAGCCAACAGTAGAGTTAAGTCACACATGCTACTGTACTGAAGGCTTTACCTTTGATAACGATGCCAAGCCAGCAGCCATTTCATCCTTTAAATAACCTTTCTGGGCTGAACCCTGCTAAGAGTACCTTCAGCTAAGGGCAAACTTGATAGTTACAATTAGGCACAGAGGGCCGGAGATGTAGCTCAGTGGTTCCACTGCCTGCCTTGTAAACACAAGGTCCTGAGTTCAATCCCTGGTACCAAAAAAGTAAAAATAAATAAAATAAAAGTAGGTATAGAACACCAGAGAAGGAGCTGGGTGTGGTGGAGCACGCCTGTAATCCCAGCACTTGGGAGGCTGAGGCAGGAGGATCGCTGTGAGTTCGAGACCAGCCTGGGCTCTGGGCTACATAGTGAGATCCAGGTCAGTCTCAACTGCATAGTGAGACCCTGTCTCAAAAAACAACAACAACAAAAAAGAATTAGTGGGCCGGGGATTTAGTTCAGTAGTGCCACTGCCTGCCTCGCAAGCACAAGGTCCAGAGTTTGATCCCTGGTACCAAAAAAGTAATCCCAGCTTGGGAGGCTGAGGCAGGAGGATCGCTGTGAGTTCGAGACCAGCCTGGGCTTCAGTGAGTTCAGTCTCAACAACATAGTGAGAGCCTGTCTCAAACAGCAAATAAATAAAAAAACAACAGAGAAGGGCTCTAGGAACAGTGCCCCTCCACCCAGGCATGTTTCAGGAGATCAACTAGCCTGAGTTGAAAAGCTCTAAACACAAAAAACACTCAACATCCCTTTCTCTTATTTTCATGAGGATAACAGCACTTCCTGCTCTTAAAGGGAATTTACTGCACACATTTCTTTTGTAAGACAAGTCCCAGAGGCCAGGACTCTTTCCAGCTGGTGAGAGCAGCTGTGTTTCTGACTGTATTAGAAGTGAAGGGCCGGGGATTTGACTCAGTGGTTCCCCCACCTGCTTCACAAGTGCAAGGTCCGGAGTTCAATCCCCGGTACCAATATAAAAAAAGTGGATCCCGCTCTCCCAGCCCAGAGTTGAGTATCAGAGACAGGCACTTGGTCCACCAGAAAGGTGTCCCCCCCACTGCACCCCTGGCTCCCAGCTTGGAGAAGAGCTGCTGCGGACTACAAACGGGGCTCAAAGCCACAGGGGCAAGCATAAAGCCTGCTCCAGGAGTGTCCCGTTTTAACTCAAGGTAGGGGGCGTTCTGGACACTACCAAAACACATGCCGTACAGAAGATGCTATCGTAAACATCTGGGTAATACCTCTGCTCCTTCGGGAACACTTCTCATTTCCTATGTTTTCTCAGCCCCCACAACCTGGCCATCGCCCCCACTTCACCCTTCTCCCAGGGTAGAAGGGTGCCACTCTCAAAAGCAAAGGTCAAACTGCAAAGCTTCCTCTTCACTCGCTGCCATTGGCCGGGTGAGCGGAAATCCTTCTGCGGGAGTTTTACTGGACACTGGTTCTGGGGACATCCCCCTGCTGACAGCAGAGGTTTTCACCTCTCTCCCTGAGCTCCCATCCCTGAAAACAAGAAGTTGAGGCATCCGTGAAGGGTCCCTGTGGAAAGTTCGAAAGCCTCACTCTCTCCTCTAGGGATGTCCTGCGTTGTCAGCAGGGCCTACAAAGGAGCGGACCCCTGGATCCCACCCGCCCTCCTCCTTGTTCTGGGACCGTCCAGGCTTCTACTTCAGGGTAGCCAATTCACTGACATCTCCAAGGCAGGTGTGAACAGGTGACATTCCCTGGCTAAGAGAGAAACCAATCACAAATCGCCATCCCGCAGCAAAGCCACTGTGACCCTCTTGGCAAAAACAGCTGTGCCTCCAGTAATGGAGGCTTTCCTGTGCAGCCACCTGCATCCTGCCGACATTCAAAAGGGACGAGCTCCCCAGGGACGCACTGACCTCTGGCACCGGCCCAGGCACTGAGCTAGGCCTCCTAGGTACTCCCAAGTGCTGGCCGATCTCACTCAGCATCAACAGCTCTGAAAACACCCGTCTCGTCCCCGCCATGGCCTGTCTGGGGAAACCCCCACGGCTTGGCTTGCTCTTCCTCTTCCTTCCTCACCTCAGGCTGGAGGAAGATGCAGCCTCCAACACAAACCACAGGGCCGGCCCCTAGTTCTCTTCTAGAAGCACCCCTCATGCCCGCCCCCAAGGCCGTCGGTCCGCTAGCTGCTAGAGAGTTAGTGCTGGGGGCTGCTCACCCCCACTCTCGCCTTTGCTGAGGTCCCTGAACCCATCCGGGAGAGCCCTTCCTATGCAAGAAGCTTCCAGTGACAACAAACTAGGAACCTCTCTCTTTGGGGAATGGAAGGGAAAGTCTAAGGTGACCCCCCAGGGCGAGGGTTTTTTACAACAGGATGGGAGGGGGCTCGTTCAGCCCACTCAAGGCCGGTGGGGTTAGGTGGAGGTCTGGGGTTTGTCTCTAAAAGAACCATCTGCACTAGGTTCTCAGAGGCATCCCACAAAGGGTTAAGGACTAAAGGGCTACCTTATTTGGTGAGACAGGCCTGGCCAGAAACCCAAGGCTCTAGAAGAATTTACACAATAAAAGCAGCTCCCAGGCCAGGACCTCCCTTCCCTTCCTTCCTAAGGATTCCTCAGGATTCCAGGGCCAGGGGATGAAGCTCCACTTCCTCGGGACTCCTCCACGCCCTTCTTGCTTTCTCTGCTAAGGGGATTCTGCGGCAAACTTCAGACTCTTGGTGCTTCCTCGAAAAAGCCTGACTTTTTCTCCCAGGCTTCCCAGCCTGTTTCCCCGCCTGCCAGCCCCCGCTCAGCTGGAAGGCCTGCACTGCCCTCCCCCTGGCTGAGGGAGGGGCTGCCCACTGGGCAGGGGCCAGAAGGGAAGCGGGGCCTCCAGGCCTCACAGCCCTGTCCAGGGTCCTGACTCCTGGTCAGCACCTTCTTCGGTCCGAGGGCTTCTACTTTGGTGTTAAGGGTACCCCGATTTGTACCCTCGGGAGCCCTGTGTGTCACCCAAACCCAATCCCAGCCGTCACACAGAAGCTGAATTCACTAGACATCCACGGCCCTGCACCGCTAACCCCCGCCCCCGTCCTCAAATCCCCCACCACACAACTGTCCCTGGGCAGAGATGAAGAGACCAAGCGAACAGCGCTCTCCAAGGCACTGCAGGAACCGGAGGGTCTTTCTGCACCACACGAATGGCTCTGCAAGTGTGCCAGACAGAGAACACAGGCGAGACCTGCCTGACAGCTACCCCGTGAGGCACCAAGCACACGGGGCTCCCAGAAGCCCTTTCTCCAGGATGTCCAAAGCCCTCGTCCCTCAGGCCCAGCAAACACATAGCCCCCCGCCCTGCTTCCAGCCCATTCACAGAAAGAGAAGGGAGCAGCCCAGCAAGCAGATTTAGTGCAATTTAGTGCAAACATTCTCTGCAGCCAAGTCCTCGCTTTCTTCTCCGCCCTCTCATGAGCCAAATAATTTGGAAGCTTTCATTGACGGCTTCTCCTCTGTCCCACGATAACTCAGAATTTATGCCGGCCACGGCTCAACCTTCTCACTTAGGGGATGAGGGAAACCTCACAGGCTGCTCTCCAGCCTGCTGTGGGAGGAAAAGCTCGTCCTTGGCCAACATTCAAGGCTGGGAGGACTCAGGCCTCCTGGAGCTCAGAGGGGAGGGTGCCTCCTACTCAGGCCCCACAGCCACCTGCAAGAGGCTCCTGGTCCCGGCCCCAGGCCGTGCATAAGTAGCTGGTTCCCGGCAGGGCCCTTACCAAGGTTTGGTTCTATTTTTAGGTACAAAGTTTCTGGGCTGGAAAACCCAAGAGACAGGGGAATTTTCTCCCCCATGCAAATTGCTCTTGCTTCTCTGCCTTTGCTGACACCTGTTTCCTCCCAGCCAAGCCAGATCCTGGTGTAGTTGGCAGCCACCGCCCTGCTGCCCCCACCACGGAGGCAGCCCCCTCCTCCCACCTGAGATTGGAAAAGGCAGAGAGGAGGAGACAGACTTGAGATCGGCCTGGAGTCTGGGGAACACAGGGCCAGCCCTAAGAGCTCCCACCAGTCCGCCCCGGCCAGCCAGGGAGCAAGGAGAGTCTGAGGCAGGGTCCCTCCTATCCCGAACGGCCACGGAACTTCCTGTCTCAGGGTCAGCAAGGCACAGAGCGGTGGCCACTCTTACTGCTGAAACCTTGGGAGAAAGAAAATACAGCCATAGCAACTGGGGAGCCCCCGTGCAACTATCTCAAGGCTGGGAGGCCTCATTTGCCTTTGGCTTCCTAGGCTGCACATTTCATCCTTCCATCAGGGAGGGGTACAGGGTGGGCCCCAGCGGCCCGTTCCTCCCCTAATAGTGTCCCAGAGACTTTGCCCTTCATCTCCATCCCTCCCCCCAGGGGACGGAGAGGGGAGGGTACCAGGTGGGGGATGGGGCACAGGGTCTAAAGGAGCCGCCTCACCTCCCAAGGGGAGAGTCCTAGGGGTGGGCAGCTGGGGGCTGGGGGGGCTTTTTCAAATGCAAAGCTCTCCAGAAGACCTCCCAGGGGCCGGCTGAAGACAGGTCCCAGGACTGCCCCCGAGGTGGAGGACTGGAAGGGGGGCTTAGAAAAAACTCTCCCCCAACCCAAACCAAGAGCTCTGTGGCAGCAGCACCCCACCTTTCCCATCCAAAGTTTTCAAGGTCTTAAGAGACAGGACCTTGAGATCCTAAACGTCCTTTATCTACAAGAGAATTAATTCTCAGGAGGCCCAAGAATTCAGGGCTAGTTTTTTTAATTTTTTTGGTACTGGGGATTGAATTCGGGTCCTTGCGCTTGCAAGGCAGGCCACCGAACTGCTGAGCTAAATCCCTGGCCCTCAGGGCTAGTTTTAAGGATAGTGCTTTTTTGTTGTTGTTGTTACTGTTGTTGTTACTGGGGATCGAACTCTGGTCCTTGCTTTTGCGAGGCAGGCGGTGCAACCACTGAGGTAAGTGGCCAGCCCCAAGGATAGTGCCTTTTTTAAGATGAAAATGCCACAGAGAGTTTGCTAACTTTCCATGATAGCCCACACTGCAGTGTGACCTTTTATTTTTGCTTTTACCCACTTTTTCCCTTTACTCAGCCCAAGCTTACTCTGCAGAGCCACTGTCCCCCCTACTCTTACTTTTACTTTTTTATTTTTATTTTTTGAGACAGGTTCTCACTATGTACTTGAGTCTGACCTGGAACTCACTATGTAGCCCAGGCTGGTCTCGAACTCGTAGCAATTCTCCTGCCTCAGCCTCCACCACACCTGGCTTACTTTTACTTTCTTGAGCAAACTCTGTCAATGCTTTTAAAAAATTTTTTTTAAATTTAAGTATCTTTGTTTTGTTTGGTACCAGGGATCAAACTCTGGACCTTGCGAGGGAGGTGGCACCACTGAGCTAAATCCCCGGCCCTTTTAAATTTAAAAATAATAGAAAGCGGTGTCCAGGAAGTGTATGAAATCCCCACTTCAGGGCCCCTTGCAGCCCAACCTGTGCCAAAGGCCTCTTTCTTCCATGCCAGGGGACACTAGCCCTGGAGGTCTAAGAAAGAGCAAAAGGACCCTAGGAAGTGTCTTTTTCGGGGCTGCAGGAAGCAGGCAGGATCCTGATGGAGAACCGTCTACCCTACTCTTCACAGCTGCAGAAGCCAAAGAACCCTTCCGTACTCTGTGAGAAGCATCTCAGATCAAAGTCAGGAGGGCTTAACACCAAAGATGTGCGAAAGGACCCTAAGGAGCTCTGAGGACGCCATCCTTCAGCCTAACACCGGCTCTACACCAGCGTCATGGAAGCAGCTTTACACCGACACCGACCTAAGAGGAAGCTCAGGCAAACCGGCTTCATTCATTGCACAAAGCCACGCAGGCCCCACTGTTCACCCTGAGCCATGCACCTGTGCCAGGAACCCGCACCCCCCGCGAGTGCCTGGCTCACCACTGGCCCCAGTAACCCTGACCCCCAGGCCTCTACAGGGCTGGTCGCTCGCCACAACCCACCTCTGAGGGCTTCTTTTCGTTCTGCCGGGGCCAGCCCGACTTGGTGCTGCTGGGCAGTTTGGAGCATCTTGATGCGGATGTGGACGTGGCGTGACCTGCAGAGAGGCGGGGTGCTGAGAGGGGGACCGGCGATGCCCACTCAGGCCAAAGTTGGGGGCTGCACAGAAAGCTCTGGCCTATACGATCAGGAGAGACTTCCGACCCTGCTCTGGGCTCTGGGCGCTGGGAGCCTCCTCCACTCAAAGGCAGGCACCTCATTGTGTGAACCCAGACAAGTCCCTGGTGCTCTCTTGGATTCTGGTCCAGGGTGCCAAATAAGCGTTCTGTGCCCTCTCTCCAGCCCCAAGTTAGGTACAGCACAATCATCCAGGCAAAGCAGGACAGTGGGACGTTGCTTTGAAGCCGAAAGAGACCCACAGGCTGAGACCTGACCCCACCTCTCTCTAGCTGGCCAACACTGTATGCCTATGACTTCAGCTCTTAGCCTCGGTTTGCTCTCCTGTAAAATGGGGCTGTGATGGTTGGTACAAGTGTCCTCCAGAGGCCTGTATGCGTAGTACAGACTTACTTGGTCTCCAGGGCTGTGTTACTGGGAGGCACTGCACACCTTTAGGAGGCTCTTCAGACCGATTGATCAAGGACTGAAATCTCCGAAACGGTGAGCTAAACAGACCACCCTTTAATAAGGCAGTTATGTCAGGTGTTTTGTCACAGGGATGTACAGCTAACACAGAGGTCCAGGGATGAACCCTCTTCGATGGCCTCAGTGACTGCCATGAGGCCTTCGCACAGCCCCTGGCACAAACTGAGTCCTCCATGAGTATTAGCTGTCACTACTAGGGCCTAAGTCCCCTGCTAGACTCTAGGGCCTCTGGTCCTATGAGCCAAAATAACAGCAAGAAGGGCCACAGGCAGACCCTGGATGAAGGGAAGGGTCGGGAACCTCACCGGCCATCCTGGCACCACTCCGGGAAACAGGAGGGGCTTCACAGATCCCAGCTGTTCACCACGTGCGAACAAACACGTCCAGAAACGCACAGCAGGGAGGCCAGAAAGGGACATTTTTCTTCTGGCAGCCAGAAGTCCTACATGCAAAGGCCCTGAGCGGCTGAAAAAACGATAAAATGAAGGGGACAGAAAAGCCCTGCAGACCTCTGCAGGGTGCAGGAACTTTAGGTTTTCACTACCATGCCCCTTGGTTGTACTGAGATCATAGCCTCTCCTACCTGTGCCTCTGAGCCTAATAATTACTCAAGAGCTTCCCTTCTAGGATCCCGGAATGAGAAGGCCTTACTGTCACTGGTGTCGGAGTTGTCGCTGCTGATAGAGTATTTTCGCCTCTTCTCTTCCATCTGCAACAAAAGCAGGCAGGTCTGTTATACCACGGACAGCTCGGGCCGTGCTCAACCTCTCAGAAAGCCACTCCGTCACCCATCTCCCATACCCAGGGCCCCACCGAGGAAGGGGAATAAGGCCTGCCCGACCTGGCCTTCTCCCCACACCTCCATCCTCCCCAGGGCTCCATCTCTGCCCTTGGCTGGGTGGAAGTCCGGCCAAAGATGACACACAAGGAAACCTGGGCCCGCCAGAAAACCCATTCCCAGTGCAGCTACCTCCTAAGCGCCCCTGACACGCAGCAGGTAAAGGAGGAACGAGACTGATTTTCAGGAGGACCACGCCATCTGATATAAAGGACAAGCCAGCTCTGAGGGCACAATCCATAGAAGGGGGCCAGCAGGGTGTGGATGTGGCGGCCTGAGCATCAGACCCAGGGTGACTGGCCCTGGGCTGGACTCCCACTGTCCTTCCCCAGATAAAAGTGCAAACCAACTTCATCTCACCCAGAAGAATCTCTCACATGGGGACCTCACACAGAATTCATCCCTTACCCACACTACTCCAAGTCCCAAATAACCCAGAGAATTGTGAGGTACTCGCTCCATTCACAGAGGAGGCTCAGTGCCTCGTCTTGCTCATAACTGGCTGAAATGAGATTTGAACTTTGAGGCTGAAGTCTAATCCCCGGGCTCAAGCTGAGTCGCCTTTGTACAATCCATTAGCTCCAGCCTGTTGGAAACCTTTTTGGAGTGTACAGAGCTATGGAGGGAACCCAGAGACTTACACAAGCTAGGCGAGTGCTCTACTGCTGAGCTACGCCCCAGCCCCTTTAAATTTTTACTTTGAGACAGGGTCACCTGAAGTCACCAAGTTGGCCAGGCTGGCATCAAACCTGTGATCCTCTTGGCCTCAAGCCCTGTGTGCACCACCGCCTCCAGCTCCGGTGGAATCGCCTTCCAACCCACTTCTAGTCCTCTGCAGTCAGGGTGGCAGAACCTGTCAGCCCTAGCTCAGTAAGCTGCTCCAGGTCTCATGGCTTCTGTGGCCAAGTCCCATCATGAGGAAGGAGCTGCAGCTCAGGGTCTAACACATCTTCTACCACGTTCCTAGCAGCTCTGGAATGGCCTCACTGCCTGCAGCCAAGGACAGGGAGGGAGTCTTTTTCTCCAGGAAAAAAACCTCGCAGCCCAGGCACCTGCCTGCCAACCAGGCTCCCCACACTTGCCTGGGTCCCATCTGCCACCTGATACCCACAGAGGCCACCCGTGCTATTGGACTGTTTCTGCTGAGCCCTCAAGTTTCCCTATCTTACTGCAGCCTGCAGAGACCAGGGGACATTTGCTCCCAGGAAGACCCTCGTGCCTCACACCTGAGCTCAGCCAGGAGCATCTCCCCACCCCAGTGGCCCCCGACAGAATGCCCAGAGGTTCACTGTGTTGCTTTCTGCCCAGCTCCGAAGGTCAGTGGCTGCGACAGGAGGTGGGTGCTCTGCCACGCTAGGACCTTGCTGAACCTGCAGCACAGCCCCGGGCGCAGGTAGAGTGAAGGCTGCTTCCCCTTCACAGATGAGGAAACGAGCTCAGAGGAGAAGTAACTCGCCCGACAGTAGTGCTCATATTCAGCTCAGGAGACCATGCTCCCGACCTTTTATGAAGCACAAGGCAAGCAGCACAGCCAGCACAGCCGTGCTCCCTGGCCTCCCGGGGCTCAATGCCAAGCGCGGGAAGGGCTGACTTTGACAGAGCCGTGCCGCCCGCCCGTCACCGGTGGAACAGGAGGAGGGAAGGAGTGCTAGCCACGCACTCGCCCACCCTCACCTGAAATCCTCAACGGGACTTGCATTTCTCTTTCCAAAAAGCTCACATGTCTAAGCCAGGGTCCCCACGCATTAAATGCAAAAGCTGCAGGGGCTGGGGGTGGCCCCCTCCTTGCTCAGCATGCACAAGCTGCCGGGTTCAGGGGGAGAAAGCAGGAATTGTGCTACAGAGGGTGCGGTGGGTGGGTGTAGGGTGCTGGGTTCAAATCCTAGCCTCGTTACTCACTGGCCAAGGTCTCTGGCAAAAACAGACCTCCCGGGAGGCAAGCTGGATCTGGATTTTTATATCAGTCTCCTGAATTTAAGAACACTGGCAACTGAGTCAGTTTTTCAAACACTTGGAGAGGGCCAAACTAAACATATTCACGGGCCAGAATCAGCTCGTGCGTCTAAAGGAGAGCCGCGGAGAGCCCTGAGCACGGGCCGGCGCTCTACAGGTGCTGGCTTTGCATACCACGGCAGCCTTGGGCTCCAGGGGACGGCCCTGTCAGCGGGCAGCCGGGAGCACTCGGTCAGAAGGGGCAGCGACCCTGTACAGTAAGGGGGCTCCAGAATGGACCCACTCTACACATGACCTCTCACCGTGTCCTCCGACTCGGACCAACAGGTGATCCTGGGACGCAGACCTACACCCTGCCCAAGCCGGCGCTTGGCCCGAGCTGTCTCCCAGAGTGCCCCGGGATCAGGGTCCCCAGCCCCCAGTCAGGGCTGCCCCATAGGAGGCTGTTATTAAGGGAGCAGATCTGCCAGTGGCTTAATTAGAATAATAACTAGGCTTCGGAGGGAAGCTACTGTTTTGTGAGTGAAGCTTCTCTCCTTTGAACCACATCCTCCGTTCCAAAGTCCGCCCTGCCCCCAAGTCACACTCGCACCCCAACCCAACCCAACAAAGGAGACTCCGTCACCAAGAGAAGGCCAAGGCTACGAAGGAGGCGCCGCCGACACTTCACCTGGTCCTCTCCAATCCCTCCCCAGAGGCAAGACCTGCTCCAGGAGACAGCGGTGTCAGGGTCCCAAGGCACTGGCTGTGTGGGGACAAAAGTAGTCCTGAAATCCTGTCAAGCAGACTCCAGGAAGGGAAGCGTCTCCCATCCGTACCTCTCCAGCCTAAAGGCGGGGAGAAGCCCTCCTCTGGACTGTGGGAGCCCCGGAGGGCTCTCCTGGAGCAGCAGCCGCAAGCACACTCTTCCCCACAGCCAACCCCTGGCCTCACCCGCTTTTCGCCTCCTCTCTGACCACACCAGTGCAAGCCCGTCTCATCTCCTGCCTGGACCCCTCGTCTGTGTCCCAGCTTTCACTACTGCGTCCCTGCAAACCAGGCTCCACACAGCTGCCCATCCTTTCCGTATGTGTTTATCTTTTGGTGAGGCTGGAGATGGAACCTAGTGTCTCACACACACCAGGTGAGCAAGTGCTCTACTACTGAGCTGCATCTGCAGCCCCGGGGAGCAATCTCTGAAAAGCATAAACCAAACCCACTGCCCCTACCGAAAATCTTCAAAAGGCTTCCTGCTGATCAAAGGACCCCTCACAAGCGCCTGAGCACAAGAGCCCGGGCAGTCCAGCCCATGCCCACTCTGACAAGTTATGTTGACCACAGTCCCTTTTCCATACCACTCTCCAGCCACGCTGGCCTCTCTTTTATTTCCTCCGCCAAGCCGACGACCGCACACTTCGAGACCCGGGTGAGAGCTGCACTCTCTGCCTACACAGTTCTTCTATCTGGCCTATGCACATCGGACTTTCCATCCTTCAGACTTAGGCTTAAATGTTGCCTAAGTGTCTCTGCTCATCAACCTATCCAAAGAATTCACCACCATGCTCAAGGTCTGCAGCCCGTCCGGCACAGCAGTCTGCCAGGCCCCTTGTTCAACAGCCTTCTCCCCGCAGTGCTCAGGAGCGGGCCTCCGGGTCTCTGCACCAGCAGCCCCTACCCTGCACCCAGGACAGCAGCAGGGCAAGCCACGCGTTCTGCGACCACACAGCCCAGCTGGTCCGCGCCCATGTGCAGGAGCAGACACCCCAGCACAAGGTTCGGGCCTGTTTTCACAGCCCACCCTCCCTGTCTTGACCTCACACATTTTCCATGAGGCTTTATTTGGTGGGGCTCCTGGCTAGGGATCAATGTCAACTCAGTCACAGGGCAGCAATTTGGTGGCAGATGTTTTCTTGGCAGCCTTGGCCACAGGTCTTGGTGGGGGCCTCAGGTCTGGCTTTGAAACACCACTGCCCAATGCCAGCCTCCTTTACAGACCTCTCTGCAAATAAATTCGAACAAACACCCTGGGCCTCCATTAGCGCCCTTCCAGCTGACCCTGCGAACAGTGGGCCTTTCAGGCCTGCTACCGCCGCGCCCCTGGGCAGATAAACACCCCAACCTGGCCTCCAGCCTCTCCTCTCCAGGGGCCACCAGGGCTGCCCTGCGAGCCACCACACATGGCAGGATTTTGTCCTCCTCCCAAAAAGGAGGAAAAGGGGCTTTCAAGCAGGCAATTTACCATTCCAGACACAATCTTCCAAAGAGAAACAAAAACTCTCCCTGTCTGAGGCAGACTGCTAAGGCGTGTGTGTAATAAGATGCTAATACAATTTAATGATATTTCGGCTGGAAAACCTGTCCTCAGAGCCTCCTTGTGTTGGGAAGGCCAGACACTCAGAAAACAAGAGCTGCGCACTTTTAAACTGCTGGAAACGGGGGGTCAGAGCCCCACTCTTTCCTATCTCTCATTAACTTTAATGCCTTCTCGGGGACAGTAACTGCTGTTACAAAAAT